GGGCTGCGGATCCCCCGTGCCTTCCTGCGACAGTTCCGTGCAAACATGGTGTGTATCATTGTGGTGTGATTTCGATGAGTGCTAAGAAGCAATGAAGCAGTTTTGAATACGTGTGGAACTTCCTATATCCGAGTGTTGTTACGTTCTGCATGTGAACATTGAAATTGTGAATGTTTCGTTGAAAGGTGCGATACATTGTGACATTGTTGTTAATAACATCTTCAAAGTGTGATTCGCGAAAAATATTCATTGTAATGTAAACACTCCGTGTGATCAGATATATTTTCTAGAAATTTGAAGTTTTTCATTTGTGAAGGAGATAAAATAACAAACAAAAATCATACTTCGATTTTCATCGGAAGTAAATATTTTACTTGTTCATTTAAAGACACGTTCTATGCGAAATTTATACGACGCAGAGAAACATTTCTTCAATTTTAAGGACTCGTATGTGAAGGAATAACAATGATAAACAAGAACACAGAAGCCCTCGACAGCAAGTCCCTCCCAGGATGAAGAAGGCAGGTGCCCTGCGGCTAGCTGCGTTGCTGATGGTCCTGTCGCTCAGGTCCGCGGCAGTGGCCGACCAGCTCCACCCGCAGGGAGGTCGCCTCTTCCGACCCCGGGGGAGCCACCTGGTGAACCACCGGCTGCAGGAGGGCAGCAGCGAGCACCTGAACCACGCGCCGGCCTTCGCCCCCGAGTACCAGGAGGCGTTGGAGAGCGTCAGCTGGGTCACCCCGACGCCGGCCAACCACGCTGCCGACGAGGGCGATCGGCTCCCTGCCGGCGCGATCGCCAACCATCGGAATCCTTCCGCGCGAGGCGCAGGCGACGAGGACGGCGAGGGCGGCGACGGTGCCGACGGGGGCGGCGGGGAGTGGGACCCCGACGCGCAGTACATAGGCCGCGTGTCCTACGACTTCCAGAAGCCGCTCAACGCCTTCGAGACGCACTGGCCCAACCACAAGTACCACCAGGCGGAGGCTGTGAGGCTGGACCCCCCGGCGCCGGCGCAACGGCCTCCGCCTCCACCGCCGCCGCCGCGGCGCCCTCCCCGCGGATGGGAGCTCGTCAGCTTCCGAGTGGCGGACGGCAACAGGTGCGTCAGCGCAAAGCGCACACGGTTCATGGACGTTCTTAAGAATATTACTTTCTGTATACCAGCATCATAAACAATCTCCTATGCTACCGAAAATCGTACATAATCTACAGCAGGGGTCCCCAACAGTACAGATAGGTATAGGCCCCCTGGGGTCGATGAAATTTTGAGCTTTCTTCACACTTCATTCTACATTGTCAACACATTCTAAATATCCTAATTTAGTTTTAGAATCCTTCAATGGATCGTGCACAGTCGGTACAGGTTCTTTATTTCTGTATGAACCTATCCTCTTCGCCATCACATTAGTTTTCTTCTGTCCTGGAAGACCCTTCCTCTGCATTCAGAATGTCCTGACTATAGTGAATTTCAATATTTCCAGCTTGCGGTACGTATCGATGAAGTTTTAAGCTAGACAGAGCCGCTGCCATTGATGAGCTTGAACTATTTCCTTATTTAATCCATTTTATTCGTATTGTAATTACAAAAACAATTCACGAGACCCTCTCCCTGCAAACTCGCAGGTGATACATGAATTCGCAGTACTTTGGCGATCCCCTGGAAATTGTAATTAATATTATATTACCTATAATCGATGTGGAAAGTTCATTATAACATAATCTTCTCGTGCTTATTTATTATGAATGTGAATCGGACTCACTGACGTTATGATAAATAAAGATATTGTCTGGTATCAATACTTATACTTATGGTATCAATATTATCAATACAATAAGTATTGATACCAGACAATATCTTTATTTATTTATCATAATGAAAAGGTATCTACCTCACCAGCGATCCAATTAATGAGTGACGTTAGTTATCTATAACCAAAAGTCCAGTTTATCCGAATACATTTCAGAGTCATTTTTGAAAAAAATAATTCGTTTTTATTCGGAGGGACATAGAGAAGTACTTACTGATACATGCACACGAGCCGACCGTGTCTACCGGGAGAGACGGCTCAAGGCATCACTGATGTCATTGCAGTCCCTCTGTCCGAGAGGTCCTAGGTTTGAGTCGCGATGGTGGCAGGTTCTTCCACACTAGCTTGTTAGCTATGTCGAATTCAGTCGCTGTCTGGAAGAGAATTCTAGCAGCCGGCGGCTCTGATCGGTAGTTTTGCGTAGAGTCTCCAAACAACACCAGGCGAATACCGGAGCAGTACCCAAACAAACGGGCCATGGACGATTGGGCGATCTCACCTTCCTTGTCCTATCTTCACTCTTTACACACACACACACACGCGCACTTACACTAACACGCATACACTACCACACATGCCGGGAGGTCCGTCACGAGCTAAAAGCTTGTCCCGGCTGGGGCGGTGCTCCGCTGGTAGGAGATACCTGGTTGGCGAAAACTCTGCTAGCCTTCGGTAGTTCGGAGCCGGATCTCACCTTACCGCGGGGGAAACATCACCGCCACCTTCTAATGTGCATGCATTACACTTACGGGACTAATGACCCTGGTCGCTGACGTGCTCAGAATCATTAAATAATCAGTCCCCATGACAGGCCCTTTACGATTTTCCTTCTACACATTTATATAACATATACCATTATTTGAAACATCGATTTTATTTTTATTATTATTTGCCTAAGTAAAGATCACCGAATTCAGTTTGCCGAAGTGAAGACAAAAGCCTTCCATTCTGTGTAGCCTCACTTTTAGCGAAAGCGCCTCCAAGGATCCATTAAAAGTGTTATGTAGTTTAGCGCTATGGTAGATGCGCATGCGCAGAGCAACCTCCGGTTCCAGCTGCCGGCGCTCCGGAAAACACACTTTGCTACCGCTCTGCACTGTACTCAGTGCTATGTTTATAAACGACTATATCAAACTTTACCATGTATCTACAAGAAGCTGGTAGTATTTTTCGCATGGTTGAGGAGGTAATTGTACATGTCAGATAAGGAATATAGAACAGGATCGCAAGCGCAAGAAAATACTGTCAACTCTTGTTGTAGTGAACCTCTACGGACTGACACTTTTGAATCATTGTATCAGGGGTTCACTATGTCCGATGATCTCAAAATATACAGTTTCTCAACTATGGTAGTCTTTATTATTTTACAGGTAGAGAAAAATATATGATCGCCGTAAATTCGAAATTTCAATGTCTCCGTGATTTCTGCACCCTTTATTCTTCTATTTCACACATTGAATATTGTGGTACAGTCTTAGCATCCTTCAATGCTTCTTGTAACCGTTGGAATACTTGGTGTTTTACCTTATTCATCACGCTTGTTTTCTTTTGAATTGCAAAATCCTTTCCCCGCATCCACGACGTCCTAGCTAGTTTGGTCATCAAGTAGTTTCAGCTAATGGTTCGCATCCGTGATGTCTTCGGACTGGACAGTACTGTCATTGATAAGTAATTTCCGTAGTGGCATGGTTTACCCAATCTCTTTCGTTCATCATAAAAGTTACAAAAAATAACTCACAAAACCCTTTATCTTCAAACACGCAAAATTTCCTGAACTGAGTCGTCTTTTTACGTTGGAAGATTTTATTTGCTAACCGAATGTTTTGGCACTTACTTGTGATGAATGTGGATCGAGACCAGTGACTTCACTTTACTATGAAAGAAAGTTCACTATATCTGACTTCACCAAATCCAGAGACGGCTGTAAAATGAAATTTAAACGATTCTTGCAAAATTAAGTGGGCAAAAGAAGATTACCAAATTCTGTTTTTATAATAGTCCTATTTTGAATTGCCACAGCTATGTCAATACTAATGAACAGATCGCTAGCTAAATAAAAATATAATTATTGAAATATAGCACCTAAGTAGATTCTATGTTAAAATGACTATGTTGAAAATAGGAAATAGGTAATCCCGTATGTTACGAACGCTATATTTCAAATTCAGTTAACCAATATTTGTTTACATTATTAATTTTCAATGCGCGCAGATATTTAAATAAAACTATGCAGCTTCTGGCCCTGTGAGACGTGTTTTGGGTTTTGTTAGATACCTAGAATATCGTAAAAAATCCAAAAGCAATGAAACCGTTTCGATTTTGACTGAAAAAATGCATATATTTATTATGTTATTCAGCCTATTCCCCTGCGGTCTGTGCACACCGATTGAATTCTCTTTGCGTGCATGTTATGTTCTAAGTGAGTGTTACTCCGCGTTTAGAGTGTAAAATATGTAAAGTGTAAAAGATATTAAAATAAATATTCTGTAACGGATGTCACAAAATTTGGGAACAAAGGGAAATAAGGGAAATTGGGAAATAAGGAACAACTGAACCTAGATTAAAAGTGTAGACTCCCTGGCAATTGTTGACTTGCGTTGTGATAAGAGAGATCTATCAGTTCGCTTTTGCCGTGGCTTCCGTCAGCCCTTACAGATTACATAGGTCTGCTTTTCTTCCCACGTCTGACCTTAGCGTACGAGAGTATTGTTACATGACTGATCGCCTGGAGCGCGTTTTCTGGTTCAAAAAGAAGCAAAAATATGCCTCTTCAAGGCAAGAGATTCTTCTCATCCACCATACAGCTCCATTTACTCTTTTTCATCTCGCCGTAGGAACGTTGTGACTCTCAGCCTGAGAGAAATGGGCGAATAACACCCGAGAGAAGGAAAGGCTGTGAGTTTCTCCTTTGAACGACTTCGATTGCGATAATTTTCACGTGGCTTAAAAGCGCACGTAGGTTAAAAATCCGATCAAAATAAATTTAATCAAAGTTAGAGCGTAAGCTTCCGCGGCCGGAGTCAGTATTTACTAGGCTGTCCGGGTGACGCCGCGTCCATGGAAGGTGCCGACGTTCGGTCGCCATTTTATCAACTGAAAAAATGTACTAATTATATTTAAATTTTATTAATTGTACCACAAGTTGTACCCTAATGTTTTACAAAAGCAGTTCATGTGCTCGACTCGCAGGACCATCCACGTGCGCCGGTACGTGCGACGGCCGGGCGCGGGCGCAGCGAGGCGTGGCGGGCCAAGGACGGCCGCCCTGTTCTCTGCTGCCCGCGGAACGCGACGGGCGGGGACGGCGCCGGCGACGACTCCAGGCGAGGGCACTTGTCGCTGCCCGCGTGGGCGGTCCGCCGCTCCTCCGACGCCGCCGTCCACGCCGCCCGCGATCTCGCAGGCCGCCAAGAGCAAGCTGGCCAAGTGTGAGTTCTGCGCTAGGGCGGCTTCAGAAATTAATGGTGCACACCCCATTTTAAACAATTCATGGAAACACGGTCAAAAAATAATTTTATGCATGTTAATTTCACTTGACCTCTTTATACACTATGTATTAGGATGTATCTTGAGTTTAGGTCCAGGCTCGCAGGCCGCCAAGAGCAAGCTGGCCAAGTGTGAGTTCTGCGCTAGGGCGGCTTCAGAAATTAATTGTGCGCACCCCGTTTTAAACAATTCAAGGAAACACGGTCAAAAAATAATTTTATAAATGTTCATTTCACTTGACCTCTTTATACACTATGTATTAGGATGTATCTTGAGTTTAGGTCCAACAATGATTCAGATTGTTCGATGCAAGTAAATTGTTTTGTCTCATTATTGGACATATACTCACGTTACACCATAATACACAATGAAATCTTATAAATTGCAGTAATTTGTACATTTTAATTTAAAAGGAATTTGATTGCAAATAATATTTTATTAAACATTTTTTAGAACCGCATTTACTACTAAATCAAACGGGGATTAAAACTAAGTGGCCACTTTTAAATTTAATTCATTTTAAAAACGTTGTAAATGAAGCACAGGGTGAAGCATAATTGATAAACAAGCAAAACACGCTAAAAACTACAGGAGACGCAAATTGTTTATTTAAAATGGCGAAAATGCATCTCAATCGTAGCTTCCAGAAACTATTTTAGAGTATAAGAAAAGCTGTCGGGCTTCTGTTTGTATTTTTTACGTTTTTTTCATTACAATGTGAGAACTATTTAAATACGTTAACAAATTACACAAACCATACACCAATTGCTTGAATCTCGTTGGTTTGTTACAGTTAGGGCGAAAGAAAAAGAACTTTTCAATGTTCACAAATAGATTTTTGTTTTTCATCTACGTATATTCACTGTTTTAGCGGGACTTCACTTTTACGATATTTTCAATTTTCTCTTCTTTTATTCTGCCATTAATAAAAAGAAACTCGACATTTAAACGAACATTAATTTACTGTACATAATTAACAAATTCGTGATATTTTTGTAAACCAAACTTCAATAACCACTCTGATTATTGTCGATGATATGGGCCTGCGGGTTAAATTAATATGTGCAACCAGGCAAGTGCCTGGAGGGCCTCACCGGGGACAATGCACCAGTCCCCGACGCGGTGATGTGTGTGTGTGTGTGGGAGGGGGGGGTGGCTCTTTCAGAAAGAAAGAGTTGGGAGCCTCCAAAAGAGGCGCGGGGTGGGCGTGGCGAGCGTGTGCGGCGTGTTGCAGTCCTGAGCCTGTTCACGGTGATCCGGTTCGCCAACGCGCCCTGCCCGTCGGCCGAGGGGCTGCCCGGCACGTGCTACCACCGCCTCGAGTGCCAGAGCCTGGGCGGCGTGGCGTCGGGCACGTGCGCGCGCGGCTACGGCGTCTGCTGCCTCTGTGAGTCCTTGCCTGCGCCCTCGTTCACCCGAGAACGGGTCTTACGGCTCGCTTCCTTGAGTCGATTCACACGCGATGCGTTACAAACTCTGGGGAATTTGTTGGCATGAGATTTAACTTGCCAAAAAGTTTTCAAAGATAAACTGATATTTTGTTTGATTCTCGCCAAATTTTAATTAAAATGTCTCTCGGGTGACTTGTACTCGTACAATGCTCAAATCATATTATTTATCTGTAATAAGATTTTTTCTATTGATGTTCTCCTGAAGTTAAGTTGAAATATCATTGCCCAACAACTTTGGAACGAGTAAAGTAACATTCTGCAGAATTTACTGACGAATCTTCTCATTTGTAACTTCTAAAGAGGCAAATATTTTCCAAAATGTTTAAATTCGTTTCTAATATTATATTCATTCAAACAGCTTTTTACTGGTCTTCTGAAAAATCCAATGTAAGTTTTCATAAAACGATAATTTGTAACGTATATGAAGAGTACCGATGGGATACCTTCACTGGAAATCAATCATTGTCAGAACAATTCTACAATATCATATTTACTTATTATTTTGTAAAAAAAATAGATTGTAATTTTTTTGTTATAAATAAAAAAAAGTTTATGTTATCGTACTTTCCAAGTTTAATTGAGTTTGTATAAATGTAAATATGTCAATACTATGACAAACCTCCAGGAAGTGCCTCAGATGTCCTTTTTTCTTTCATAAAATATTTGCTAATATCTTTCTACCAACTCTTTTGGGTGGCAAGGCCCGCAAGCGCCTCCCTGCGTGGCGTTTGCGTGACGCGTGCCGTGCCGCGCCGTGCGCTTGCAGTCCAGGCGTCGTGCGGAGGGCGCACCGCGCAGAACTGCACGTACTTCGTGAACGCGGCCTGGCCGTCCGCCACGGCGCTGGGCGCGTCCGGAGTGTCCTCGGGCGCGTGCACGCTCACGGTGGACAAGCTGCCGGGCGTCACCCAACTGCGCCTCGACCTCCTCACCTTCGAGGTACGCCCTCCAGCCCCACGCGCACAAGCGTGGGAATTCTGACGTACTGTTGACGGAATTACATGAAGAAGTAATGAAAGGCACCTCTGTCAACTTAGTATGTTATGATAGAAGTTATAATATAAGCAGGGGCGGATCCAGGGAGGGGGAATTCAAATTGTTTTGGTCAAAGGTGTCATATTACAGATTTTGTAAAATGTCGTAGGCTACACAAGCTCATGCTGCAATACGATTTCACTCGTTTTAATGATTATCCTAAAATATTTTTGCTCCAAAGTTTCGTTAAAGTTGAAATTAATAGTTACTGAAAAATGTTGCAGGGAAATTTCCCTCTTTTTGCTCCCCGTGGATCCGCGCCTGATATAAGTCAATTTAATATTAAATTGACGGAAATGACATCCATTATTTCTTCATCCGGATGGAGAGAGCAGCGCCTTCTATTCCAACTGTGCGGTGTCACCAACCTCTCCCTCCCTCCCCTCCTCTCTCTTAATTATAAGTAATATTAGATCAAAATATCAACAATATTAATATCCTTGATAATCACCATAATGCCTTCAATTATTATTCCGGTTCAAGTTGTGAAAGGTGCTTTATGGGGCTATCGGGTGAGAGATTATTAAATGGCGATGGCTGTTATCTCTCTGCATTGGGGGACTAGTACGCCCGCCACCGTAACGCGCTACTCCATTAAGTCTTAAAGCGGTGGCGATGGTGTAACGGTTGTTGTATCAGACAGTTAGACGGGTTCAAACCCGATCGAAGCCGTGGATTTTTAAGAACGAAAAATCCTTCGTACGCCTTCCTTCAGAGGGGAAGTAAAGCCGGCTGTCCCATGTTAGTAGATTTACCTGCAGGTAAAAGATCCTCAAGCCTAAGTGACGCCTCTGAGCTAAATTCAAATCGCCTGTTTCTCTCCAAAAAAATACCTCATTTCTCTGCTAGTTGTTTAAAGGAGCGTAGCGAAATTTGCGTGGTCAGACATAAAATAAGGCAAATTCAATTCAATTCAAAGTCTTTACGTAGCGAGCACGTTATGAATCAAATAGAGGCAACACGATGGCACTCATTTCACATACCTAAAATGTATTATAATCCGCCTAAAAATACGTTTTTATCCAAATGCTGTACAAAGTCCATGGAACTACGACACATGTAGGAAAAATTCATTATAAGTGTATGTATGTTACGGCTGAAGTCGAAATAAGGTGAATGTTTGGAGTAGCCGGTTAATTCTTACATGAGCCAGAAGATGTGGATGAAGCTGCATGAATGACGTTGAATGAATCATTTCGGACTTCATCCGGATAATCTTTGCATTAGTCATGGGCAGTGGCTAAGGAAAGGCATGTAAGTGTCTAAGGCATCTCGTGAGTTCGTGGGAAGTATTTTGTCATAAACATGCGTTCGAAATAATGCGTTCATTTACATAAGACTCAAGTTTTATGTAAATTACCAAGATTGAATGCCGGTGCCTTGTTATCAAATCGAAAGTGCGTAGCTAATCGTTAAAAGGTGAAAAAAACCACGTTCCCTTGGTTTTCGCCATCCTTTGATGAGAAAATAAGGCCAGACTCAATTAAATTTAGAAGAATAAAATTATGTCATAATTTTGAGACCAAGAGGCTTATAAAATAAATATTAGTAAATATAAATGAAGCAATATTGAAATGAGAATAATAACTTGTATCACCTGATCTTTAGTAATTTTATACCGCCTCGTTCCGTTGAATAATATTTTTATGTTTTAGCTCTTTTTACCACTTTTCCCTCATTGATGTATTGCTTACACTAGCGTATTAGAAATCTCTTTTAATTATTCACTTTATTTTACTTTTATTTTCTAGTTTCTCAAGTCGTAAATTCACGTTTTTTACTTAAACATCAACTTTTGCCTTTGACCTACATCTCAGAAATGGTTGAGATCGTGACGCAAGAGGTCAGGTTTCTTGTTCCACGTCATGAGCTTGAACACAAAGAATGCAGGTAGCAAAAATTGAATTATTTTCACAGAAAGAAGAAATATCATGGAGAAAGTTCCTACCCATTATAAGCATTTATAATTTATCTTATTATAAGAAACATGTTTTGTTTAAATAGTGAATAATATTTATTTGAGACCCGTAAATAATCTGATAACTATAGTGAAAACTAAATTGTATAGGAGTGCGACAGATCGAGTCATTCTGTGATTATTTGAACTAATTTCCTAGCGTGAGTAAGCGGTTTCAATCTTTATCAACGGCCTCATGTTATTGTTATAAAGCAAACACTAAGGCTACTCGGCTTATCTTGTTGTGGATCATGATTTTATGAAATTTAAGTAATTATCGTAAATAGACAGTGTCTATTTATTACCTACCAGAAGGAATTTAACCTATTTAATTATACGTAAATGGGGAGAATTATTAGGAGAATCTAGTAATATACACGATTTCTCTCATTTTCAGCAAATAGTTGTCTAATCAACTTATTTATTGGAGTCAACGATTGAATACAGTGCAAGTGGTAGGACAAGTGTACAAGTGGTAGGACCATTCCTCAACGGAACTCTGTTTAATGAAATTATATATTGTAATGCTTTGCATGATTACATAATTCTGACAATTCCTGTACTTTCTCCAGGCAATATCTTTTATTTTCTGATAAAACGGATTGACTTTACTTAGCATGTTATTTTGTCGTAAAATTATTATTTTTACTTTCAAAGCAAATCATCATACAACGCACTAAATTTTATTGCCGACATTTTCTGAAGAAAATTGCGCAATTTATAAATTAACTTTCTCTTGTCCGGGGAATAACTTCGTGTTTTACAATAACTTATAATTTTTACGTAATCATATTAGGCAAGTAAATGAATGCCTTGTTTTTATTCACAATACTTCCTTAAACAAGTAACCTCGAATGATTTAGCAGATATTTCCAACTCTTCTGCTCATAAATGGCTCTTCCTCAATGTGTTGGTTGGTAAATGAAGCTCACGTTTATATTTATGCCGTTAATAAGAGTGCTTTCTGTGTAGAAACTATTTATCTAAAATGTTTTATAAGGTGACATGTGTAGCCCTACATTATGATACAAGCGCTCTGGAAATTAGTTTTAGTTCTAATCACAGATTTCAAAAAAATGAATTGCTATGGTTATTTTTACGGCTAACTTTTTACCATCGTATATAAGGCATAGTTTTTAGACGTTTCGTAATGAACCGGTAATGGAATATTAACTATTTGGTATATGAACTTCTTGAAATGTTTGGATCCAATTTAGAAGCAAATTACTACAGCATCGTTCTTAATACGATTATTTTGCGCAGTTAGCCCGACCCATGGACGGTATGTGCATCGACGAGCAGTTTGTGGTGAGTGGCCAAAACACCAACAGCATTATTCCCGTGCTCTGTGGAGACAACACTGGCCAGCACGGTGAGCAAGGCATCCTCCCGCACGGAGGTCGCTTACCTGCATTTGGCATTGCATGTTCTAATGACGTTTTGCACTTTAAGTGACCTCATATGCCTGGTTTGCCTCTAAAAGATTATCGAAAGTGTGGAAATTAAAGGCCTTATTTTACTCTTTTTCCAATATCAACAAGAACTCATCATTGCATGAAAGAACATTTGAATACCATTTTCACCACAGTATTTTAACCAGATTCATGCAGCCGAACAAATACGAAACGGCAAGGTAGTATATACCATTTGGTTGTATAATTGTAAAGAACCTGTACAAGTAATTGCACTTCAGCTCTGGGTCAATGACCCTAATCTCGGATCAGGTTTTCGTCCAGTTTCCTGATCTTCTCTAGAAATCTGATGGCTTCTAGACTGTTCTGTTTTGCTTCTAGACGTAAATGTAACTTCAAATTAAATTCTCTCCATGCACGTCACATACAGTTTTTGACTTTTGATTTCTTGTTTTGTTGTTGTTGTTGTTGTTGTTGTTGGTCTCTTCTTCACTATTCAAGTCGAATTCATTCTCTTTCTAGCGAAGAATTCTTGCTGCTCTGGTCGGTAGTTTTCGGCGGTTTCTCCCTGATAGTTCTGAATTTATGAAGATTGTGGAATGTTTGGAGTAGCCGGTTAATTTCTACATCGAGTGGCCAGGAAGATGTGGATGAGCTGCATGAATAGAGTTAATAGAATAATTTTGGACTTCATCCGGATAATCTTTGCATTAGTCATGGGCAGTGGCTAAGGAAAGGCATGTAAGTGTCTAAGCATCTCGTGAGTTCTGGAAGTATTTTGTCATAAACATGCGTTTCGAAATAATGCGTTCATTTACATAAGACTCAAGTTTATGTAAATTACCAAGATTGAATGTCGGTGCCTTGTTACTCAATCGAAAGTGCGTAGCTAATCGTAAAGGTGAAAAAAACGTTTCCTTGGTTTTCGCCATCCTTTGATGAGAAAATAAGGCCAGACTCATTAAATTTAGAAGAATAAAATTATGTCAAATTTTGAGACAAGAGGCTTATAAATAAATATTAGTAAATATAATGAAGCAATATTGAAATGAGAATAATAATTGTATCACCTGATCTTTAGTAATTTTATACCGCCCTCGTTCCGTTGAATATATATATTTATGTTTAGCTCTTTTTACCACTTTCCCTCATTGATGTATTGCTTACACTAGCGTATTAGAATCTCTTTAATTATTCATTATTTTACTTTTTATTTTTTAGTTTCTCAAGTCGTAAATTCACGTTTTTTACTTATACATACTTGTGTCTTGACTAACCATCAAATGTGAGATCTGACGCAAGAGGTCAGGTTTCTGTTCTACAGAGTATGAGCATTGAAACAAAGAATGCAGCGTTAGGCAAAATGAATTATTGTCACATAAAGAAGAATTATCATGGAGAAAGTCCTACCTATTATAAGCATTATAATTATCTTTTATAGAGAAACATGTTTTGTTTAATAGTGAATAATATTTATTTGACCGTAAATAATCTGATAACATTAAGTGAAACTAAACTGTATAGGAGTGCGACAGATCGATCGATTTTCTGTGATTATTTGAACTAATTTCTAGCGTGAGTAACGGTTTCAATTCTTTATCAACGCCCCATGTTATTTTTGCAAAACTAAGGCACTCGGCCTTATCTTGTTGTGATCATGATTTTATGAAATTAATTAATTATCGTAAATAGACAGTGTCTTATTTATTACCTCAGAAGGAATTTAACCTATTTATTATACGTAAGATGGGGAGAATTATTAGGAGAATCTAGTAATATACACGATTTCTCATTTTTCAGCAAAATAGCTTGTCTAATCAACTTATTTATTGAGTCAACGATTGAATACAGTGCAAGTGTAGGCAAGTGTAAAGTGGTAGGACCATTCCTCAACGAACTCGTGTTTAATGAAATTATTTTAAATGCTTTTGCATGATTACATAATTCTGCACTTCGAATATCTCTGTACTCTTCCAGGCATATCTTTATTTTTGATAAACGGATTGACTTTACTTAGCATGTTATTTTGTCGTAAAATTATTATTTTTACTTTCAAAGCAAATCATCATACAACGCACTAAATTTTATTGCGACATTTTCGAAGAAATTGCGCATTTATAAATTAACTTTCTTTTGTCGGGGAATAACTTGTGTTTTAACAATAAATTATATTTTTATCGTAATCATATTAGCAAGTAAATGATGCCTTGTTTTTTATAGTCAATACTTCCTTAAACAAGTAACTCGAATGATTAGCAGATATTTCCAACTCTTCTGCTCATAATGCTCTTCCTCAATGTGTTGGTTGTAAATGAAGCTCACTTTATATTTTATGCCGTTAATAAGAGTGCTTTCTGTGTAGAAACTATTTATCTAAAATGTTTTATAAGGTGACATGTGTAGCCTACATTATGATACAAGCGCTCCGAAATTAGTTTTAGTTTAATCAACAGATTTCAAAAAATGAATTGCTATGGTTATTTTTACGGCTAACTTTTTACCATCGTATATAATAGGCATAGTTTTTAGACGTTTCGTAATGAACCGTAATGGAATATTAACTATTTGGTATATGAACTTCTTGAAATGTTTGGATCAATTTAAAGCAAATTACTACAGCATCGTTCTTATTACGATTATTTTGCGCAGATTAGCCCACCCATGGACGTATGTGCTCGAGGAGCAGTTTTGGTTGAGTGGCCAAAACACCAACAGCATTATTCCCGTGTTCTGTGGAGAATCACTGGCCAGCAGGGTGAGCAAGGCATCCTCCCGCACGAGGTCGCTTACTGCATTTGGCATTGCATGTTCTAATGACGTTTTGCACTTTAAGTGACTCATAGGCCTGGTTTGCCTCTAAAAGATTATCGAAAGTGTGGAAATTAAAGGCACCTTTATTTCTACTCTTTTTCCAAATTCAAAGAACTCATCATTGCATGAAAGAACATTTTGAATACCATTTTCACCACAGTATTTTAACCAGATTTCTGCAGCACAAATACGAAACGGCAAGGTAGTATATACCATTGGGTTGTATAATTGTAAAGAACTGTAAAATGTATTATTGCACTTCAGCTTCTGGGATAATGACCCTAATTCTCGGATAGTTTTTTCGTCAGTTTCCTGATCTTTCAAATCTGAGATGGCTTCTAGACTGTTCTGTTTTGCTTCTAGACGTAAATGTAAACTTCAAATTAACTTCCTCTCATAGCACGTCACATACAGTTTTTGACTTTTGACTTCTTGTTTATGTTGTTTGTTGTTGTTTGTTGTGTTGTTCTTCTTCTTCTTTTCACTATTCAAGTCGAATTCATTCTCTTTAGCGAAGAATTCTTGCTGCTCTTGGTCGGTAGTTTTCGGGTTTTCTCCGATCAGTAACCTACCAAACTGCCTTGTACCGTGTGCGATCTTTCATCTTCCTTGACTTTCCTCCCTCTTTACGCGCTTACAAACTAACTACCCTACCACACATGTCGGAGACCATTGGGAGCTTAGAATTTGTCCCGCTCAGCCGTACTCGCAAGCCGAAGTGTA